CCTAGTCTGTCTCAGTCTATAAACTGGGCTGTTACCTATGCACCAGGTGCATCTCGCTGGGTTTTAAACACCAGAGGCTCAGCCTCAAAACTGACGTCTACATGTCACCAAAGTAGGACAAACCGACAGACAAGTTTGTCCTGCTGTTGGAGACCTCTCGTATCACCCGCACCTGGGTCCCTGTGGCTGACTGTTCCTCTGTCTGGCTTCCTGTCTTTTTGTCCTATACCTGAGTGATGCTTTATTGATAGGTATATAGTAAAAATTCACTAAGCTGCACATTTTAAGATCTGTGCTCCTTAATGTACATGTTAAGGAGCTCTGGTGATGTACTGGTTAAAGCATTCAGCTGCTAACCAAAAGATCGTTCTCACCAGCTGCTCTGTGTGAGAACGATGAGGCTCTCTGCTTTCATGAAGACTTACAGCCTTGGAAACCCTATGGGGGTCACTACTAAGTCAGAATTGACTCAATGGCAATAGGTTCTTGGTTTGGTATACTGTTATGACATAGTAAAGGTTAAAAAATCATTTTGAGAGACTGTAATAAAAAGTAATTATAAATTGCCCAAAATATTTAAATTCAGGAAGACTCTTGTTTAAATGAGATTTTTTTTTCCAATAGAGCATTAACTCTATTGAATTCTCCAAGGAGATTTAAGAGTTACGATACTTCTGTGAGTATGGTACCAAAAAAGTAACTTAAAGAATATTCATACTTGAGTGGATATAGTTTCTAAAGCTTAAACAATAAATTACTATATATAAGATCTAGGGTGCACTTTCACATAAAATATACTATAATACAGTACATACAATAATAAACCAGAACAATGGTTCTCAAACATGTAAGCAAACTAGGATCAACTAGGGAGCTTTTCACAAAATATGTACTCCCAGGTCCTATTACAGATTTACTGAATCATAATTCTTTATAGAGTCCACCCACTGCCATCGAGTCGATTCCAACTCACAGTAGCCCTGTAAGAGAAGCTTAGAAACCATAGGGTTTCTAAGGCTATAAAGTTTTATGGAAGCAGACTGCCACATCTTTTTT